CGTTAAGGCTGCGTGGCCCGCACAGAACACAGGCCTCCCGTGGCTGCCACTGCCCAGGCACAGCCCTGGCCTGGCCACCCTCTGCCCACTGCTTTGTGCAAGGGAGGGGCTCAGCTTCAGGTTCCAAACACTGCACCCCAAGAGCCGTGGGCAGAGACCCAAGAGGGAGGAGCCCTCTCCCCAGCGCAGGGCCACCCCGGGTCAGCCTTACATTGGGGGTCAGTGAAGGCCGCTCCCTCTGCAGAGTCTCCAAGGATCGCTCTGGGCTCTCCCGGTCAGCGGGGCCGCCTGCAGAGGAGAATGGTGCCTGTGGGTGCCGCCCCCCTGCCAGCACCCAGCGTGCCGACCGCACCCCTTCCTCACCCCTGGTGCTGCCTGCCCAGCCCGGCGCTGTCTGCTGGGACCCCACAAGGATCCCCATGTACAGACAGGGCCCTGGGGCGCTCCCACCTCAACCTCTGCTCCTCCCACCAGCATGGCCCTACCCTCCTCTGTGGGGGCAGAAGGTTCCAGGCTGCTGGGCCCCCTCCGAATGGGCCAGGGCCTGGACGGCCCAGGGCTCAGGACTCTGGGGTGGCAGGTGCCCTGAGGGGCTGGCTCCCCTAAACTTGCTGTGAGGGGGGACTCCGGGCTCGAGTCGCAGAGACTCCACAGTGAGCCCAGGTCTCTGCCTGCAGCTGACACCTCCCCCTGAGCCTCTGCCTGCAGCTCCCGGCTGCAGCGCCCGGCCCCCGGGAGGGGCCGCCCCCTGGGCCAGGGCTCCAGGCTGGCTGGGCTCGCCACCTTCAGGCCAGTGGCCCCAAGCTCAGACCACCCCACCCGCACTTCTCTATTCGGTGCCCCTTCTTCCGCTTTTGCCCCTTTGGGAGCTGGGTCAGGCCTGACTCTGAGGAAGTCTTGTCTGGCTTCCCACACAGCCTCTGCGGTGCCCCCTAACCCCCGCCCTCAAGCCCTGGCCCAGCGCCGGGCTCCTCCCGAACTCGGACCCCACCTTCCGAGCCAGCCCCTGCCCCATGTCACCTGCGGGCCACCTCCTGGCTTCAGGAGGCAGAGGGTGCGGCCCGTTACCCGAAGCCCCCAGCTCCCCCCACCTCCGACAGCCCCTCTGTCCCCTCCTGTCCCCCTTCCTGGTGTGGCACACCTGGGTGCCAGCTGGCTGCCACCTCCCCTGCTCCCTGGACACAGCCGGCAGGCCTGGCCCTGGGTTCGAATGGGGCTCTCGCTGGCTCGCTGGGGGGCTCCGGGGATCACTTCTCCTCCCAGCCTCAGTGTCCCCAAGTGTGAAGTGCACAGGGCAGGGCTGGAGGACACATCCCCAGGCACCAGCCAGCGGGGCTGCGTGGGCCGAGGGTCAGGACTGGCACCAGCTCAGGGCAACGAGGAGGCCTGGGTGGCAGCCCCGCCCTCCTCACCTTTGTCCGAGAGCCGGGCATCCTCCTCCAGGTCCCGGGGGATGGAGAGCTTCCAGAGAGAGACGGGCAGCCGGTCAGGACACTGCCCTGCGGACCCGCCCCGCCCCCTGGGCTGCTGTCCCCTCGCTGTCCCCCTCTGCACCAGCCTCTCAGGGGTCTCCCCGCCCCAGCCGGGCCCAGGCC